AACAAGGAATAATCAACGAAAATACATTCAATAATATCACAAGGAATCTACAATTACGCAACGTGAACTTTGGACCTATGCTGCACTGTACTACGCGCCACGTACATCGAACGGTAAGACAAAGGACTTGATTTGAGTGAGGTCGTTCCAATTCCTTTCTTTTTTCCCTTTACGTGTCTTTTTTAGATTAGCACAATTCGGATCCGACATTGGGATCTCTTCATATTTTGTGTTGCTTTTTTTTATTAATCAATATTTCTTGCTAATACACCATTCTACCAGCCATCCCATTATCGCATTATAATCTTACGCATCAAGTAACTAATACTCTGAAGCATATTATTTTGCATTGTAGTCATATACAACGCATTACTTCGCTTTACTGCATAACCGGGCGCATAACCGGTTTCACTTTGTGTCGCTCGATTAGTACACCCGCTTACTCATTATAAATTGTCACAGTGCTTTGTTTAGTAATTTTTTACGCGCTTGTGAATTTATTTACTTTTGTGTAATTTGCATTGCAGAAAATGAGTGAAGTTAATAAAGAACGACTTAGAGACATTGTGAAAGCGCGTAGTAGCATTAAAGCTAAGCTTACTCAGTTTTATAATTATTTAAATATCATAAAAAGTTGTGAGTCATTGAGTGACCTTCAAGTGAATGAATCAGAATGTCCTTTATGCAAAATAGAACCCTTACACAGTGATTTCGACACATTACAGACAGAGTTCGAGTCGTTATCAGAAGATACTCCTGAGTTGTATGCGGAGCGAGAACAATTCGATTCTAAATACTTCTCACTGGTGGCTACGGCGCGGACGCTTCTTGAATCAATGCGTCGTCGACGTTCGCCTTCGCCCGTGTCAAGTTCGATTTTGTGAGGCTACCCAAAATCAATCTACCCAGCTTTAGCGGTGACTTCCAGCACTGGCTTGAATTTAGAGATACGTATATATCACTCATACATCTTAATAAAAATATTAGTGACATCAATAAATTCCACTATCTTCGTACAGCTTTAAAAGGCAGTGCATCAGTGATTATACAAAGTCTAGAGTTTAGAGCAAATAATTACAATATTGCATGGCAATTGCTATCAAACAGATATGACAATGAACGTTTGCTAATTAACAATCACTTTGCTTTATTTAATTTTGAACCTTCTCAAAAGGAGTCAAGTTATGCTTTAAGATACATTATTGACGTCACTAATAAAAATTTGTGCGCATTAAGTACACTTGGACAGCCTACGGAACACTGGGACACACATATAATTTACATTCCTATGTCTAAAAAATTAGATAGCGCCATATTCCGTCAATGGGAAGAGCGCCGCAATACTATTACAGGCTCACCTTCTTTAAAGCAATTTTTGGAGTTCTTAACTAATCACGCGGATCTTTTAGACACCTTACAACAAAAGCAGATACATAAAAATAATACACAAACAAGACAGTACTTACATTCAGGCATAAACAAAACAAAACACTTTTGCCACAATACACCGAAACAAGCAGATAAACACACAGATAATTATAAACCTGTGCTATGTTCCATGTGTAAACAGAACCATTTCTTATTTAACTGTCAAGATTTCAGAAATTTAGATGTGAAATCGCGTTTACAAAAAATTACTAATTTTAATATTTGTAAAAATTGTTTGCGGCCTGGGCATAAGGAAAAACATTGCATGTTAACGCATTGCAAGTATTGTAGACATAAACACAATACGCTGTTACATGAGGATGCTGACACACCAACAAATGTAGTTTTGTCTACTGACATTCAATCATCTGACAGACCCTGCGTATTACTTTCCACAGCGTTGGTGAAAGTGGTTGACGCGCAGGGAAGACTTCGCACAGCTCGCGTCATACTTGACAACGGCAGCACTTCACACTTTGTCACCCGACACCTCTGTGAGAAACTAGGTCTGGTAAGACGCAGTACTGACTCCACTATAACAGGTATTAACAATCAAAATTCCTTTAGTGCAGAGTCGTGTAACCTCACCATCAAGTCGAGCTCGGCAAATTACACTGTAGACTTAAATTGTTATGTATTACCAAATATCACTAATGTTTTACCTTCGTCGTATATTGACCTACAAAACATACCGTTACCTTCACACGTTGAGTTAGCAGACCCTTCGTTCAACATTCCTTCCACTGTTGATATATTGCTCGGAGCAGATATATTTTGGGACGTCTTAGGTTCTGAATTAATTGACTTAGGTAAGGAAAAACCTAAGTTGCAACTGACAAAGTTCGGTTGGATAATATCTGGTACAATACAACAAAGTAAATTAAAACCTTTCCATTCTTGTTTATTTATTCAAAAGGATGAGTCACGACTTACACAGTTTTGGGAGCTTGACTCCGTTTCGGATAATTATAGTTTATCTGTCGAGGAAAAGGCTTGTGAAATTAGTTTTAAGAGGCATACTAGGCGTGATGAAAAAGGACGATTCATAGTCACTATTCCTCTAAAAGATTCACCGGAAGTTCTCAACGACTCTTATAACTTAGCAAAGCGTCGGCTTATCTCTCTCGAACGTAGGTTAAAACATCAACCCCGTATCAGAGAAAGATACTTAGAATTCATGTCAGAATATCTTAACCTAGGTCATATGAGTGAAAACTTAGTACCTAATCTAAATAATTACAATTATTATTTACCTCATCACGGAGTCATATGTGAATCGAGTACAAGTACAAAATTAAGAGTCGTCTTCGATGGCTCAGGGGTAACAACGTCTGGCAAGTCTTTAAACAACATTCAGAGGGTAGGGCCAGTAGTGCAAGACGACCTATTGTCAATCTTATTAAGGTTTAGACAACACAGGTACGTTGTATCTGGAAATATAGAGAAAATGTACAGAGCGATTCTCGTTGACCCTTCACAATGACCTCTCCAACAAATCTTATTACGGTTTAATTCTTCTGAAGAGATTAAAACATATAGTCTTAATACGGTGACATACGGCACGGCATCAGCACCGTACTTAGCCACAAAATGTCTGGTCACTCTTGCAGAACAATGTTCGGAGCCAATGGTAAGGAACGCCATTCCTAAAGACTTTTATGTCGACGATTTTCTTAGCGGTGGCGATACCATTGCATATGTAAAAGAGCTATGTCAAAAGGTGACTACTACTTTGCAATCGGCAAACTTTCATTTACGAAAATGGCTCTCAAATAACTTAGAAATATTAAATTTTTGGTAATTAATTCTCATGAGAATACCGTAGAGAAATCGTTGAGTTTAAGTGAAACTCTTCCTAGCAAAACTCTTGGTCTACAGTGGGACTCAAGCACGGATAGCCTATTGTTTTCAATTGATATAAATTTAGATTTAAAAAAGGTAACTAAACGTAAAATTTTATCGCTTGTAAGTCAAGTGTTTGACCCTTTAGGACTATTAGGTCCGTGCACAGTTGAAGCAAAAATTTCATACAGCAACTTTGGTTAGACAAGTGTGGTTGGGACGATGAAGTGTCATTGGTAATAAATTGGTTTTTTAGTACTATTCAATCTCTAAATTTTTTAAAAACGTTTAGCATTCCACGGTGGTTTTCCTTTGAGATATCTGCGATGCACGAAATTCACACTTTTTCGGATGCCTCCGAACGGGTTTATGGCACATGTGTGTATATAAGAACAATTAACAATAACGGTGAGGTTTGCGTTCGTCTTTTAATCTCTAAAAACAAAGTAGCACCTTTAAAACCAGCTACTATTCCTCGTCTCGAATTATGTGCCGCATTGTTGGGTGCAGTAAGGTATTACAGTCACTTACATGTAATTTCAATCATTCTTACTTCTGGACAGACTCGACCATCGTCCTAGATTGGCTAAAAATGTCTTCCAGGAGTCTAAAAACATTTGTTCGTAACAGAGTGGAGGAAATTCAAGACAGTACTGCTGGTAGTATGTGGAGTTACGTACCGTCGAAGGAGAACCCTGCAGACCTGGTTTCTCGTGGGGTAAAAGCTGAATTCCTCGTACATTCCGACATATGGTGGTCTGGGCCAAGCTTTTTACATAAAACCGAAATACCATTTCCAACACGTTCACATTCAAACATAAAACAGTGGTAGAGCCACGCGGCAGCTTTTGCTGACGCACGGATGGGCCGGCTCGAACCAGGGTGGTACCACGACCTCACAGAATACCAGCGTGAAGTAGAGGTTTACCTCTGCGTTTCGCTTGGTGAGTGCAGGTGGCCGGAGGCCCTTTTTACTGGAAATGATGCATTCCATCTTAGTCCTCACGGGTGACAACGCATCTGCATTTTGATTTGTAATAGAGGATAGATGTAGATGTCTATGGGCCGCAGCAACCACTTACCATCAGGTGGACTGTGTGCTCGTTTGTCACCCTTATCCTATAAAAAAAAAATCACTTCCAGAAACATCCTTAAATTTAATAACAATACACAATGCAAATAAAAATACAAATATACTTTCTAAATTAATGCACAAAATCTCAAATTACTTAAGGTTAATCAGAATAGTTGCTTATATAAATAGATTGATCCACAATTGTAAAAATCATAATAAAAAATATTCTGATGTACTATCTTTATTAGAACTTCAAAATTCGGAAAATTGCATACTCTACATAGCACAACAAGAGATGTTCCCTGAAGAGTATAAATTAATAAAATCTGGACAACTCTTACACAAGCGTAATAAATTGACCTCATTAACGCCATTTATAGATGATAAAAACATTATGCGCGTTGGTGGACGTCTTAATAATTCACCTTATTCCTACGATGTTAAACACCCCATTATTTTATGTAGTAAACATCATCTTACAAAAATCATTTTTTACAAGTATCACTACAAGGACATGTTACACTCAGGCCCATAGTTACTGTTACCTCAAATACGTCAAAAATATTGGCCACTTGGGGGGAGGACCCTCGCAAAGCGCGTAGTTCGTGGTTGCGTTCGTTGCATTTGATTTAAGCCAAAATCTATCCAGCCAATCATGGGTGATTTGCCAAGCGATCGAACTCAATTAGAGTTTCCTTTCCTTAACACAGGCATAGACTACGCAGGGCCAGTGCTGGTGGTTGACCGTAAAGGTAGAGGTAGCAAACTTATAAAGTCTTATATATGCATTTTTATGTGTTTCGCAGTCAAATCTTTTCACCTTGAACTTGTCACGGACCTTACAAAGGAAGCCTTTTGGCACCACTCTATAGGTTCATGTCACGTCGCGGTAAGCCTCGAACTATATATTCTGATAACGGCACGACGTTTGTAGGTGCTAGCAACGACGTCAATAATTTTTTTTCAATTGTATTCCAAAGATATTCAAATAGATATGTATAACAAAGGAATAGAATTTAAAACTTTTCCTCCTTACTCTTCACACTTCGGCGGCTTATGGGAGGCTGGAGTAAAGTCGGTTAAGTACCATCTGAGACGCATACTAACTTTAGCACATCCAACATATGAGGAGATGACAACTTTGTTGGTCCAAATAGAGGCTATTTTGAATTCCAGACCCTTAACACCTCTATCCACTGATCCTTCCGACCTGTCCTGTCTAACACCTGCGCATTTCCTTATCGGACGCTCGCTTATATCAGTACCACAACCTCTGGTCATTGACACGAAAATCAATCGTCTTCAGAGATACGAGAAAATCGAAAAATTGAAGCAACATTTTTGGCAGCGTTCAACAGAATATGTATCACTTCTCCAACAAAATTTAAAATGGAATTATTCATCAGGTGACCTGCAACAGGGATCATTGGTCTTAGTGAAAGACAAGAACCGACCACCACTACTTTGGCTTCTCGGCAGAGTGGTGAAGATGCATCCAGGACGAGACAACGTCAACCGTGTAGCAGACATATTGACCAAGAATGGTGTTATCCAGCGGTTCTACAACAACATATGTCCTCTACCAGTCACCACTTCGTCATATTGAAGTGAAATACTTCAACCCGGGCAGCATGTTGCGGCAACATCGACTAATAATCAGCGGTATAAAACAAGGCGCCAGGGGGCACCCAGCGGCAATCTTCTTTTAAAAGGTCTTACTATTCAACCAGCAAAGATATTAGCAAATCATTATGTCATTTTTACCAGCGACTGTATTTTATTTTATTTTATTTTATTTTGTTACGTCCATTTGTAAACACCCAAACTAAAACCTAATTCCGTAGTGGTGATGGATAATGCCCCCTATCACTCCAGAAAGTTAGAATCGCTGCCTACAATGGTTTGGAATAAACCAAGTATGCAAGAGTGAATGGCGAGCAAAAATATCCCATTCAAGGCACAAATGGTAAAAGCTACTCTTATAGACATTGTACGGCAGCACAAACATGAACACTGCGCCAAGTATGCCGTGGACGAGATGGCAGCGGAACGTGGAGTCACTGTTTTACGTTTGCCCCCTTACCAATGTGAGCTCAATCCCATTGAGCTGATTTGAACGCAGTCCAAAGGGTATGGCAAGAAACAACAAGACCTTCAAAATGAAAGATGTAAAAAAACTTTTCGAAGAATGACTAAATGAAGTGACTGCCGAGAAATGGAGTAGCTGCGTGGCTCACATAATAAAAGAAGAAGACAAAATGTTTAATCTCGACCACATGATCGATAGTGTCTCAGACAAGTTTATAATAAATGTTACTGACAGTGACAGTGATGATATTATATCTTATGACGATGAATAAAAAAAATGTAATACTCAAGCATAGTGTTCTTTAATGAAATTCCTATGACGACATATATACACTATGGATAATTTTCGCCTGATGAACTGGCAACATGGATGTACCTTAAATAAATCTTGACGTAATTTTTAAAACCTTCAGTTCAAAAAATATTTTAACATTCAGTCGTTTTCTTTATCAGTCAGTCATTTTGTTTTCCGTTCAGACATTTAGTCACAACACTATTTTTGATTCATCAAAACCTGACAACCCAGTAAACGTCAGGCAGCTTCGTTTATTTAAAAATACGACTTTAAAAATAATTTATTGGACTCTCAGTTTAACAAATTACATTTATATATTATATCTACTTTAAATTACAAAATAACATTTCAAAGAAGTTAGCGTTGATGGCCATTCTAGTATAAACTGTGTTACAATATAAATCTATATTGTCTTATTTTATAATACAAAAATCTCTAAGCTTATCTCTAACTGTAAAAAAATAATTAATTAATTAATTTCTTATATTTACGCGAACACTACATATTGTTTTAATAAAACTACTTTTACGGATTTTATCGCGTTTAATTAACTCATTTTATATTCCTATCATCTCAATGCCCCGTGACCATGGTTGCTGGAAAGCAACCGAAACGTCGAAAATATAAAATAAGTTAATTTAACGCGAGAAAATCCGTAAAAGTAGTTTTATTAAAACAAAAAAAAATTCATTGATCTATAAAGTCACGAAATATATTATTTGTATTCTTGGTTTCTGTTATGGTTTTTTTATTTTATGGTTTTTTATTTTATTACGCTGTACGCTGCGTTGGGAGGCAAACGCGCGTTTTTGTTTAGGCGTTATTACGATTTCAATTTTCATTAATGTTCTTACACTTACACTCACTCTCATACTACACACACAATACACAAAATTAATTATACATTTCCCAAGTTTACCATGGCGAAGAGATAATGGCAAAATACTTATAATTACTAATTTTTTTGAAATATTTAGCACAATGACCTTCCGTATTATTCTCAAAAATTCAATTTTAAACTACCCCCTCGATCATTTCAATCTTTCTATTTATATTAAATTAAATGGTTACTTCTTTGCAAACACTAAATGACATAGATTGTGCTAAAATTTCTGACTCAATACAATGCAATATCCAGGACTTAGGTAAACACATTAAAATTAATAAATCAGATCTTACTATCTTTACGCAAAATATAAGAAGCGTGAATTGTAATTTTGATGATCTTTTGGTAACTATTGCGCAACTAGAATTTGATCCTGATGTATTGGTCCTAACAGAGTGTCATCTAGATAAAAGCAAAGCTATTCCTATTCTTCCAAACTATACTCATCTTGCAACAACACATCATATTAATCAGAATGATGGTGTAGTGATATATACAAAATCCTTATTAAAAGCTAACATTACAGAAGTTGTATTAAAAGAGGCGTCATGCTTACAAGTAAATATTTTTAACCATGTTGTACTTGGTATATATCGCTCTCCGTCCAATAGTAACGCGTCAAATTTTACAGATTCTCTAAATAACCATTTGTCAACTATAAATTCTGCTAATGTTACTATCACAGGTTACATAAATATAAATATAATTCCTAAATCTAATGAAAAATTATATGAATGCAATAACAGAATAAATTATTTGTACATGTTATCTACACACGGTTTATTAAATGGACATAATTTTCCTACTCGTGAAAATAAGTGCCTAGATCATATAATTATAAAATTAAATGTATCTAAAGTGTCAGCATTTATAGCAATTATTAACACAACAATTACTGATCATCTAAGTCTATTACTAATCCTATCAAAAAGTAAACATAAATCTATACAGACTAAAACTAAATTAATAATAGATTACGAGAAAGCTTACAATGTTTTGCTTGAAAGAAACTTAGAGAGTCTACTCTTGTGTGAAGACCCTAACTTACTTATTGAACAGCTTACTCAAAAGTTAAAAGAATCAGTGGATGAGGCTAAAATTACTAAGTATCTTCTAAAAACTCAGCGAACTATAAAGCCTTGGATCAGTACAGGTATTTTGCGATGTATAAGGAACAGAAACCAAATGCAGCTTAAACCAAGATCTGACCCAGATAATAATATTCTAAAAATAACATTTAAAAGATATCGTAATCATTGCAACAATTTGATAAAAAAACTAAAGAGAAAATACAAACGGGAAAAACTTACTAATGCTTCTAAAAATTCAATAAATCTTTGGAAAACTATGAATACTATTACTCAATACAAACCCTCTAAGACACATAGCAATGAACTCCTTACAATAAAATCATCTCCTAATGAATCAATTAATTTTGTTGGTGAATTTTTTGCTAACATTGGAAAAAACTAGCTAATGACATCAATACACCTGAAAATCCTATACAAAATACAAGTCCTCATTCGTTCTTTTTGACACTGATCCACAGGAAGTTGTCCTTACTATTGATAGTCTCAAAACTGATAGTGCTGCTGATTGGGACAATATTCCTACAAAATTTCTGAAATGGTGTAAGTTTCTCATCGCCCCTGTAATTAGTCACTTGGCTAATCTTTGTTTTCGTACAGGATTATTCCCGCTCTCACTTAAAAAGTCTTTAATTACTCCGGTTTATCAAAGTGGTAAGAGAGACGATGTCAACAACTATAGGCCTATCTCAGTCCTTACATCTATTTCAAAAATTTTTGAAAAAATAATAAACATTCGAATAATTAAGTATTTAACTAAATATAACAAATTATCAAAAAATCAATTTGGATTTAGACAAAAAATTTCTACAGAAGACGCGGTTTAGCACTTACTTCTTTAATAATTGAAAATGTTGATCACGGAAAAAAATGTATTACAGTTTTTCTTGATTTAAAAAAAGGCATTTGACACCGTCTCTCTTCCCACTCTAGTTGCTAAACTAGAACATATCGGCATTCGAGAAAAAGCATTTGAATTGATGAGGGACTATTTACAGGGACGTATCCAGAGGGTGAAAATTGGAGACTACCAAAGTCAAGATTTCGACATTACTTACGGCGTACCACAGGGGAGTGTCTTGGGCCCTACTCTATTCTTGATATATATTAATCAGCTCACAGAATTAAATATTGAGGGTGGCCAAGTCTTTTCGTATGCTGATGACACTGCTATTGTGTTTACTGATAGTACTTGGAAAGGTGTATTTGAGAAGGCTGAAAAAGGTCTTTGTAAGGTGTCTAGATGGCTTAGACATAATCTACTAACACTAAATGTTAATAAAACCAACTATATGTGTTTCAGTATAGATAAACGAACACAGCCCCCTAGTGACACTTCACTGAAAATTAATCAATGTGATGATACGGATTTTTTAAATTGTAATTGTGGAAAACTTGAGCGAGTACATAACACAAAATACCTTGGAATAATTTTTGACCAACATCTTTCGTGGATTAATCAAATAGAATACGTAAGCGCCAGAATTCGTCAGCTTATATTATGGATATTTAAAAAACTGCGTTACATTACAACGACTAAATTGATAAATCAAATTTACACATCTTTAGCTCAGTCAGTTCTAGGATATTGCATTACGGTATGGGGAGGAGCGGCAAAACTTACTGAACATAGAAAGAGGACAACGATACCTTCTCAAAGTTATGTATTTTAAGCCTAGATTTAATACGGAACAACTGTATAATATTAGTGATGTTCTTACGGTTAGGCAACTATATATCTTACAGTCAATTTTAAAAACACATACTAACTCGCCATATGATCCAAAAAAAAACATCTACACGGGAGAATCATATCGTCATTAAACAAATTTATTTTGTAAAATATAAATTTGCTGAGAGACAGCACTGTGCCTAATCAAGATATATGTATAATTATTTAAATAAAAAATTAAACTTTCACCGGCTTAATTATCGCGAATGTAAAAAAATATAAGTATTTTTATACATTCGCGCGCCGATCATCTTAAAAAATTATCTTATCACGCCACAAAACATTCTACGTCACGGAATTAAATAATACATTTGTTTATCAGAATAGAATAGAATAAAATAAAATAACATAAAATAATAATAATAAAAATGCTTACACTTTTAAGCACCTACAATCACACGTACACACATGCACTCACACGCAAACACACACACGCACTCACACGCAAACACACACACGCACACACGCACTCACACCCACACACCCCCCCCCCCACACACACACACCTGCTCTAAAT